TTCTTAAGCAAATTCGAAACCTCCTTGGTCCCAACTTGTATGTCCACAACCCGAACATCAGACACCTCACCGAGTACTGAACCAAAACACACACACAAATAGCAATCCTACGCCCTGCCACTAACTCCTGCCAACATAATGAACGTTACATGACCCACGTCAGCCTCCCATCCTACCTGGTCTTTAGTGACCCATCTTCTCTTTACTTCAGACACGTTACGACTCTATCACGGATGAAACCAACCCAAGACACATCACGATAACTCAAACCATCATCAACATACATACCACTACCGTTCAACCAATACGACACTCATATCTAACTCATATCACCTTTTCTGGTTGGAATATCAATCATGTCTAATCAATTCAACTATCGAGCTGAAATTTTCAGGGTTTGTTGGCCTACCGCCTCAACCCTACCGCTCCCTTTGAGCCTCCATGCCTACGACTTACTGTCACCCTGCACCGGGTATCTTGGCCTACTGCATAGAGCAGGACCGCCTCAACCTTATCCAAGTGCCAAAGATGATCATGAGAAAGATCTGACCCGGTTCCCAGAACCTGAATGACAGGACATTCTAATCCCAAACCTTCCTAAAAACGGTCGAATACCCATACGGACCCACTCTAAGTCCCCACTGGAGTATTACCCAATCCCAGAAGATGAAACCTCGGAGACACCCTGAACTGATGAGATCACCAAGACCCTTTTGAGCTCCATCCGACCACTAATAACAACTTCCGTTCAACCAAAAATACACTGGACTCTTCAGCCTACTCCAGCAACATGTTAATTACTTGGGGATAGACCTTCTGATTGATATAGCATAGTAGTCTACTCAATACCCGAACATAGATCTACGAACATATACAGAGTCTTCAGCATGACTGGACCGCCCTACAAGGCCTTCAGTCTGTCTGGACCGTTCTTTGAGCCTTCGGTCTAACTGGTACACCCAACTGGCCTTTAGTCTATCCGGACTGCTCTAAATTGTTGAGCATCTTCCTGAACCCCCTCCTGATGCTCTCTCTCATGCATGCTGTTCTCACCCACTTGGGGCTTTGAACTTCGGGTCTACTCTGTGGACTATATCCTCAGCCTAACCCTAGGCCTCATGCCGATTGTCCACCCTCTCGGAAATCTGTGGTATGCTCCCTGATCATCGTGTCTACCACACACGCTAAATAACCCACACTCCCGTGCTGAATACACTACTGATCCATAGCATCTAACAAAACCCTTAATCTATTGATCCAAAAACCCTCAAAGTCAAGCACATCCTTGACTGAATACTCGAACTAAATTTAATTCTTGACTAGAACCCCCACCTGGTTCCCCAGCTTCTGCTATCAAGCACCCAGAAGATGTGTTTCTTATGTTGGGGAGTTTTACCAAACCCCTAATCAACACAACCCTCAAACCAAGCAGCCACTAGGGCCTCCATTTTCCCAGTTTCAAAACCTCTCCCACTTCCACATCTCGGGGTAACACTCCCCTACTTAGATTCGACTAAGCCTTCCTAATACATGAAAACCGGAGGATTCTCAATCCTTCTCACTTCCCAACGACCGATTAGATGACGAACAACTCTTTCCACTGGTGCTTCATTATTAGCCCATCCTAATCGATCACACACTTCCAAGAACTTGATGAAAACTTGTTGAACCCTAGAGAAACCATTAGCCACTAATGCTTGAGAGATACCCCCCCCCCCCCCCCCCACTCATGTCTTAAAGGCTAAAAGATAAATGCTCCAACTAATACCTCAGCAACGAACCCCTTTTCTGTTGGCGCTTTCGCCCATCAATCACGAACGACTGCTAAGACAACTGAGTCCTGATAATGATGAATAACCATCCTGTGAAACCCTATCTGAAGACTTCCCATGTAATACCTCTATTTCCCAAAGGTGTTCCAATAAACTTCCCGCTCTCGGGCTCTAGTTAGTCTCTTCAGGGTTCGCACCCTGACTCACTTACCAGTTTAAACGTCCACAGCTGAACTGCAACAGCTGAAGCAACCTCTGCCCTAAACCGGGCTACAACTACTCCCAAGACATAATCTACAATTCCAAGAGTACAATAGATCTAATAATCAATCCTTACCGTCTGATGCAAGAGATCCAAGGAAAACTGGACTCCACACTTACATATGCCACGGCGACCCACCTGTGCTCACCGATGCTGAAATAATGTTGCCAACCTCTGTAACCAGCTGATCCCAAGCTAGAAGACAACCTGCCCATGGGTCACAAGCCTGCTCACTCCTTCGAGCTCGAAAAACTGAGAGGGCACAATCCTTACCCTACAAAACAACAATCCAATCCATCAACTAACCATTCCACTTCCAGCTGTAAATCCCCAGCTGAACATCACCATCGCTCCCTTCCAGTGTCCTTGCGTCGCACGTTTTGGTCTCGAGCAAAACCCTCGAGCCTCAAATCTAGATACCCACATGCTAGCCTCTCCCGCTCAACCCGTGGAAATGTAACGAGTACATATCATCCTCCTATTCCCATATAAATGCACCCTCTGCCCATCAGAATATGCACCAATAACAAGTCTCGGTACTGGAAAGCTCAACCAACTCCTCTCCCCTGCCGCCGTTACAGCTGTTAAAACTGTCGCATCAGCCCTCTCGGTAATGGTTGCATAGCGCTTGCTAGGGGTGCAAATGAGTCAAGCCAAGCCCGAGCCTGGTCAGGCTCGGCTCGGGCTCGTTTAAGTTATGCGAGGTTCAAGCTCGAGATCGACTCGTTTCGAGCTTCTTGTACCGAGCTCGGCTCGAGCTCATAAATAATTATACAAGCTCGATTTAGGCTTGGGCTCGGCTCGTTTTTTGTCTGACGTACCTAAATAAGCTTAAGCTCGGCTCGATCTCGTCTACTAATACCCTAAATCCCTAATCCCGAAATATGTTTTTATTTTAATATAAAAATAATAATAATAAATTATTTTATATAAAGGCTCATTTAGGCTCGCGAGCCTAATCGAGCTTAGTAACATAGGCTCGAGCTCGAGCTCGTTTCATAAACGAGCTTAATATTAAGCTCGAGCTCGGCTCAGGCTCGTTTAAAATCGGTTTCGAGTCGAGCTTTTATCGATCCGATCCCGAGTAGCTCACGAGTAGCTTGGCTCATTTGCACCCCTAGTGCTCGCCAAAATACTCAACCATAGCGGTCTTAATAGACCCGACATCTCTGGAAATTACCCCCGAACAATCTTGATCACCTACTCCTGGATGATCTCACTAACGTGATCCACTAAAAAATGATGGCCTGTCATGGATGCCCGCTGCCGATCCTAACCTGGATCTGGTCTCAAGACGTCTTGAATATTCCATACCATGACTAGGAACCGACTCCCCAACCCAACCCTAGGGGTTGTGACTTCCTTGATACGTGTATGGGTCATGTGATTTCAGTAGTATGGGACCATACTACCTTCCACACCTACCCATATTTATCTCAAGTAACACAACCTACCATATACATATACATAACGGGCGATAAATCCTCACTCGTAGAGAAATGCTAAATATCTCATAACTGGCCTCCCGGCCTCTCACTACCCACCCTTCCATGAAACTTCCACCAACCCCTACAGCACTAGTGTATGCTAGCCATACATAACGCTGGACCCTATAGACTTTCGAATATCCCATCCTACCCCAAGCCCTAATCAATAAGAACAGAACATAAGGCCAGATCAAATATTCTCAAGCTATAAGATCTTAATTATATACAGTTGTGATGGATACACCACTACTAGAAAACAGCCCTTTAATGACGCGCAAACAATGACACTCGCTGATAAAGGATGCGCATTTGTGCGTGCCCTAAAAAATAATGTCAATTTTTTAAAATTTGAAGGATAGAGGATATGCATTTGTGCGTGCCCTAAAATTAGCGTCAGAAAAGAATATAAATGGAATGCGGAGGGCGCCCTTCATAAAACGTGCCTCCTCTAAATGTGTAGCTTTATAAAATTTTAATGAAACACACATTTTTAAGGCGGGATTTCACCCGCCTATTAAATCCCAAAAATTAACAACCCCCCCCCCCCCCCTCTTCCAAGCCGTAGGGCCTTCGTCTTATTCTTCTTTATAGTTATCAGTCAAAAATTAAGCAACATTCTCTTCCATTTTGATTTAGAACAATCGTTCACTACAATGTTGGGTATGAGTTTTTGGATAACGCTTCTGATGATTCCGATGATGTATCAGTTAGTCGGCAACAAGAAAGATAGAAGATAGAAGAAGAATAATAAAAGCGAACAAACGGGATTTCTTGACCTGGTGTGTTAATCCCTGATCAGGTCTTTTGAGCGAAGAGGAGATCTGAGGCTCAACTGAAGAAATATGAGCGCTTCTAGGTGGGTTTGCTCTGGTCGCCCATTCTTTTAACGTATACTACATCACCACCTCAGTTAGCTGTCTAAAGGTCAGTCACTCTCTCTTTTCCAACCCCGTTCCGCTTTCTGCCCACATCTTGCTTCGTCTTGCAGCCACATATCACCGCCTTATGTTTCACTTGTATCTTTATTTTTCTTTCTATTATTGACTAATCCTATTTGCTCCAAACACAGTCGATGGTCTCGCATCTTCTCATTGTATGCTAGGGACAGAGGTCCGTGACAGCTAACGTTCCTCCATCATACTTGAGAGGATGATGCTTTCATGGAACACATCTTACACCGACTTCCCCCCTTTTCCGCCTTAATAGGATGAATCGCCTTCTCCTTCCTTCATATGTAAATTAAAAAATACGATTTTTGTTTTAGCTATGGACAGATGTCGTTGTCGCAATTTAGGCCAACTGGTCGGTGGAGTCTAGGTTAGCGAATAACACCCATACGATGATCTTTGGGTTTCTTTCTTTTCCTTATCCTACAAACTAATATGTTTTTTCTGTTTTTTTTTAATTAGGGAACCTTGATTATTACCCTAATGATCGATCATGGAAAGAGGTTGGTGTCATCTATGGTGTTATTAGCTATCTCAATAAGCCCTAGGTTAAATAATGATCGCATGTGTTCTAACGACATGGTACACCTGAATCTAACTTCCCCTGTTTAACTCAAATTTGCAGTTGTGATATAGAATACTTGAAATCTTCTAGAGTCCTTGATTGTTTGTCTGTGATATAGAAGCAACAATCTGGTAGTAGTGGTACTAGTAATCAATCTCATATGCCAAGCTCTTGAATTAACACATAATCATACCAAACTGCTCCATCAAATCAGGTAAACCTTCTAGAGTCTTTTCTACAGTTTTAATCAAAGAAATATTACATAATCACGAGAAGTTTGTGTATGCAGATGTTGCAGAGACAATGCATGGATTAAAAATGAAGAAGACAGAAAAAGCTAGGAATGGAAGAAATGAGAATGTGTAATGAGCTTCATTGACAGGTGAATGTCTTCAATTTTTTGTTGGTGGTCCACATTTCTTTTTCCTACTCTGTGTCCTTCACATTAACTTCTATTCCTTACATAATGGTTTGGAAATCAACTAATTATATTGAGATTTTAAGTAACACAATTGTCTATCACTTTGGGTGGGACAAAAGATTACCAATTTTTTGTCCCTTTAACATCAGTTGAGTCTCATTTCAATGCAAGCCAAAATGCAATACAACCTATTGCATATAACATTTTAGTCATTTAGTAAAGCAGTAAAACATTAGAAAATAGAAAGGGCTAAACTGAGGTCTTGTTTAAATAGAAACACATGTTAATCTGGTGATGAGGTACATAATCTACTCATTTAGAAAGCAAGAAAATTATTAATTAACTTTTATTAGCTTTTGGCAGTTGCTGGTGCTCCTTATGATACCCTAGAAGAAGTCATTGGAATCAGAGATGGAAATGGAAATGGTGCTCCTTATCTGATGCTCCAAACGGTTTTGACACCAAACCTATAGGACAATCCACAAGCAATAGCATTTGGGATACATCTAATGGGTTGGTCGAACAACACCATTGCCATATAAAAAACGTGTCACGCAGGCTGCTGAGGTTCCTCTCTCTTATATCTTTTATCTTTTATTTTGTGTATCTGTTATCGATTCTCTCTATATAATATAACCACCATCTGTGTAGGATTTTACTCTCAAAGAACATCTGCCAAAGTCAACTCCTATGACCCGTATTAGTCAAGGTCATGAGACAAATTCATTTAAATCCAACTTTGCGTCTTGGTCAGCAGCTTCAGCAGCCTCTGTTCCTGAGGAAACTAGAGGAAAAGTAGCAGGTAGATTTGTTATGTATTTTTGTTACATGGGACATGGCTTTTTGAATTTTCTAGGGCTATATTCGACTTTTTCTAAAACTAGCACTCTTGTTCTCATTACTAGCTCTGCTGAAGCAACAAGGCGCTTTTGTCAAAGGTCTGACAAAAACGGCTCCTGTAGAGGAGGATGTTCCACCTTTGCTTGGAGAAAATGGAAAAATTAAGGTTTCAGATCATAAACTTGTTGCCACATTTAGATTTAATGTAGAAAGATAAAATAATTAGTTATATTTATATATTTGGTTTGAATTGGACAAGGAAATTACAATTCTTTGTCACACCTAATAAAAAACGGGACATGGGCATCTCTCTTCTGTGTAAAAGACGAGAATGCCCTTGCAACAACCATGAATAAAGTTAGTTTTTTTGGTGTGTGGGATGATTATTGATTAACTTAATAATTAATGTTGGTTTGAATTGGCAGCCATAGTATCAGGTGGAAAGGGTACAACACAAGACAAAATTAGAACCCTGAGGGAAGCGGGTGTGACAGTGGTGGAATCACCAGCAAAGATTGGAGCTGCTATGCTTGAGGTTTTTAAACAGAGGGGTCTTGTTTGAGTGAAGACCATGTATTAAGAAGAACAAGAAGAAACCATTTCCAGTTCAGAATAAAGAAGATAAACACCCAGGCGAGTTTATATGGTTGGATTTTAACCTTATTGAGTATTTTTAGCAATCTTTCTCTTTTTTTTTCTTTATGAAGCCAAAGCCAAAGCCACGTGCCACGACATATTTTCTTATTAGTTTTGCAAACTTGAAAAAAGTACAGGGATTTGGAATTGAGATAATTGTTTTTAGATTTTACTTATGTGTCAAAAAATTCCAAAAACTTGACAAGAAATGTCTGAGTATTGCTAGTATTAACTACCAGATAATGAACATAACCTTGTTTAATCTATATTGGAAATTTTGTAAAATCATCACGCGAATACATATCCAAAAATTGTGAATAATTTTGGATCTCGGATTCAAATGTTTGTGAATACGCCTAGTTATTAGTAGTCATATTCTAGAAAATATAATTAAATGAAAAAGATTGTTCAACCTTGCAGATGGAGATTATCTATTTCTTGAGATTCTTGCTGCTGGAGGAAAGGTTTGTAAATTAAAAATATTGACAAATACACCAACAATAGCCACAAACAATATGCAAGGACAGGGATTATTTCTATAATATATTAAACAAGGGTCATTTATGTAATTTCTATAATATTTAAGGACATGGAACAATTCTATAATTTTATTGTTACACATGGGCCATTTCCGTAATTCAGCAATATGTATGACTGCGACCATTTCCGTAATTTCCTGTTGCACAAGGTCTAGATCTGTAGTTTTGCCAAACAATGGGTTGTTTCTGTAAATTATTACACAAGGGCAATTTTTGTAAATTCATAGGAACCATGTCTGTAAATCCACAAGGACCATTTCTAAAAATGCATAGTGAACATTTATATAACTTCTGCAATATGCAATGACAAGGGCGATTGGTGTATTGTACAATTTAGTAATTGAATTCTATTTGACAACTTTCTTGATAACGTGATCACTTTTTCTTCATGTAGTTTGTGATTGTTGTAATATAAGTCAACACAGTTTTGATCTATGAATGTAATATAAGTCAACATACTCTGATTTTAATTTTTTTTGTTCTTTTATATATTCATAGATGAGTATCAGCAGGTCAAGAAGTCCTTTGAAGATGATAAATTTTCCTCGATCAAATCTATATTCTTTTCAGCTCAGGTAAATTTTCTTATGGTAAAAAAATATGTTGCCTGGAAAAAAAAAAAATTTGAAATCCATAAATACTGCAAAAACTTTTCTACCTTAGTAAATTACATAAATGGACCTTGTAGTTTTGGTGGAATCTAATTTTGATTTTTGTTGCATGGCTCGTCCTTGTGGTTTCATTTTATGTGCAGCGTTGGTCCTTGACTCATTGAATCGTTAAATCTAACTACTAAGCTGTTAGTTTTTTTTAAATATGACCATTTTGCCCTTGGGCCAAACTAATAAAAAACACACCATACGGTCCAAATTTGTAATTTACTATATGTACATGCATATGCATATCTATATATTTAAGTATATTTACAAATAAAAAACACACCATTTTGGACCCTATGGTGCTTTGTTATTAGTTTGGTCCAAGGGCAAAATGGTCATGTTTAAAAAACTAACAACTGAGTAGTTAGATTTAATGATTTAATGACTCAGGGACCAAGGCTGCGCATAAAATGAAACCACAAGGACGAGTTGTAATACCTTTGCTTTACGCACCTATGATAATATCTATTGGTTGTAGCTAAATGAGTTGTAATTGTTTGGATATAGGACATATGGTGGTCAAATGAAGTTGTGTACAAAATGTTATATGAAATGGATGTGGGAGTATTATGTGGATGCTACAACAGGTAGGTAAGCTTCAATTTCTACCTTTTATTTTCTCTCATAAGTTGAAATTTTGATTTCTAGTTTCCATGGATCCAACCTTAATGTTTTCATCCTCAAAGGTAATACATGTTTGCTGAAATACCAGACGACTACGAACAGATATAGACTCTACAAATGGTCAGCTGGGTATTTTTTTTTTTTTTTTTCTGAAATTGACATAACTATATCTTTGATAGTCATGTTTGTTTGTTCGGTTGTGCAAGGACAATTAGATGGAGTTTGACAACACATGGAGCTAGGGAAGTGGGACATCAAATAGAACAAATGCAGCTAGGGTAATTGTTTTCTGAATTTGACATAACTATATCTTTGATTTTGTTTTTCATCTTACCGTAAGGCTGCAACTATAGTTCAGGTACTATGGATGAATTATGTTTGTAAAGTATTTAAGAAATGATTAGAAACAAGGGTGAATTTGTACAGATTAGTTAGCTAGTTGCAGGTTGATCTTGAATCAGCAAAGGGGCAATGGATTGTATTTTTTGTATCTAATTCGTTTGTAAATTTTTGTTACAACTTTTATTGATTTGTTTTATCTTTCCATGAAACAATATTTGTATGACATTAAATTTATGCAATGGATTCTATTTTTTGTATATGATATTTTATTTTCTATTATGAAACATTAAATACAAATTTAATTCGAAAACAAGCAAATCTATAAATAATATTTTTTTAAACATTTAAAATTATGATACGCAAAAATTTGTGTCATCTTCATTTATGACATGGGCTTTCTCGACATGGGCTTTCTTGATACGCACTGTGTGTCATTAGCACGCGCGTCGTAAGGTTACGACACGCGAATGCGTGTTGTTTTCCTTTATGACATGGCCTTTCTTGATACGCACTGCGTGTCGTAAACGTGCGTCGTAAATGAGCGTCGTCTCTCTTTATGACAGGGCCTTCCTTGACACGCATTTGCGCGTCGTCTGAGCCTTTTACGATGCGCAATGAGCATCGTAAAAGGCTGTTTTTCTAGTAGTACACAAGTAACTACAGTAATGATGTCAATCTCATATAAAGAAAACCCTAAGCTAATAGGCATCATGTAGTCAGGAAATTTTATCATGCAATTCCTGAAGATCCCTAGCCTAGTACTAGCATGCTGTTCTAACATATCACAATATCAAATAATCGTATGGTCTTTTGGGGTCTACTTACTGGCTTCGGCTGATTGTACACTTCGTGTGACATCCCCAAAATCACGGTCAAAAAAGACCGGTTTTGTTTGTACTTTATTTCTAAATCAGAGTAACCTTTTAATAAAAGAGTTGTGGAATTTGTGCCAAAACACTAATATGATAAAGATTTATCAAAAGCATTTCCTTATAAATGTATTTCATTAAAAGACTCGGGATGTCATGTTAGATACAGTACATAGGTATAAACAATACAATATAATCCTTACTACATTATTTCATATCTACAGGCCTATATCCGTAATCCCTCATCCCAACACATCACAACTATGCTTGAGCGCCACTACCTGTAATACATAAAACTGAGTGGGTCAGGCTTGGGAGCCTGGTGAGCACATAGGGTTTTCAACCCACAATAAATAGTTTATTAATTTCATCAACCAACAATAACCCGATTACCCGTTCCCGTTATCCTCACATTACGTCCCTAAACACCTATAATAAGGGACTTATCCTAAGGATCATCATCGGGATGGACACTACAGCTAAGGGGGTTCCTTAGCAATAAATGCCCTAAAGGCAACCATGTGGCGGATGGAGTACACCGGTGAACACATCGTTCACAAACACATACAGGTTGCGAGCCTGCCAGCGTTCCACTAAACTATCTAGAAGAGTCCATGGTCATCATCTATACTCTGCTAGATGACTGGATCAACAACAACAACATCGAGGCCTCTCATCATTTTATCACACATTGTCTTATTACATCTACCCATGTTTTACCCCAACATTTTTATAGATATAAAATACATATATAGTTTAAATCATTTAAAACTTGTATAAAAACATTCATCCAGTATAGATAGCAAGTATACAGATAATATGCACACATAGCACGTAATATATAAAACACTTTATATCTATGTGTAAGATGAAAGTAACTATGCACTCACCTGATAAGGTGATGATTGGATACTTGGACAGCACTTCGTTATCTCAAAACCATTTCCTTTGACAAAACCTAGTATCATTACCACTACGGTTTAGTTTAATATTCACCGAGACTAATTAATAGTCTAGCTATTATTATTATTAAATAAGCGTTAAACAACACTATATAACTCATAATAATAGCTCAAGTACTTATTTATAAGGTCCTAATAACATTACTATATGGAAACATAAGCTATACTAAAGATAGGGTAGGCATAACTCACTTACAGCGGGCTTTCTCAAAAACCGAGCTTCTCTGGAGCAGTGTTCCCGAGCCGAAAGGCTCTTTTCTTGGGACTCCACGAGCCTCGGGGCTTCCTTCAGGTTCTAGGGGGTTTACCTAGGCTTTAGGGGGCTTAAGGGGAGCTAGAGAGAGAAAGTTTAGAGAGAGAAAGTGGACGAGAAAAGGTGTGAGAATGAATGGAACCCGGCACATCTGTTTATAGTGTGAAATCCTAATGGACTCGCCGAGTAGGAGGACCTACTCACCGAGTTGGGGCATGTGGTGGCCTTGTGGTGGTGCCACGTGTCCGATTCTGGTGGTGCCACGTCACCTAATATCGTGTATCAGCCTCCGACTTAGAAAAATCATAACTCTCGCATATGAGCTCCTTTTTTGACTATATTTATATCCACGCATAGGTAAAACCAAGATCTACAACTTTCATTTAGACTCCGTCGGCTAATTCTCGACCGATCTCAAATTTAACAGTAGGAGGCGTTTAGACGGTTAAATGATCGCAAAGAATTCGTAACTCCTTCATACGGACTCCGTTTTCATCTATCTTTTTACCGTTGAGTTCCTATTAATGAGATCTTCAACTCTCATTTAGGTCGCTGATATGGGCATATTTAGTTATAAAATTCATGCATTATCTTAATACTTTATGTTGATTTTATCTCATTTAATGAGCAAAAGGTGCTTAATTAGTTTAGAATTTCATGTTTCAGCAATAATGACATGCTCGGAAGGAAAAGGAATCGAAACTAGCGATTGGAAGCTTGGATCTTGGATTTTGAAGAAAGAAGGACGTTGCTGGACAGCTTGACCCCTCGTTAGTGTTTTGGCCATATCTCATGAACCGTAACTCCGATTGATGAGATTCAAAATGTTCTGAAAACTAGACACAATTTCGAACGACTTTTGTGTTTTGAGAAAATGCTGATTCCAAACGTACTCGGCGAGTAGGGTCGATTACTCGCCGAGTTGGTCAGAAGTTTCGCGATTCTGGACGCGCTGACTTACCGTACACGGGTTTTAAGTGATGGACTCGCCGAGTAGGTCACTGGACTCGCCGAGTAGCCCCTGTTTTGTGAAAATCTATATAAAGGGACTTTCAGATCGATACCCTAGCATATAGATGAACCCTTGGAGGCCAATTGTCGACTAAAGGTGTTGCTAGAGCGTGGGAAGCAAGGGAATCAACCCTACATTCAATTTTAAGGAGAATCAAGTCAAAATCAAGTTTAATCTTACCTAATTTCTTGTTTGAACTATGTTTTTACCAATTGATTTCGTTTTTGTGCTTGTTTCTGCTGTAATCATGAGCTAAAAACTCATAACTTCTGTTTAGGTAGATGAATTTGTGAACATGGATTGATTATTTGATTAGGATTAATGTTAATTGGTGATTATGTTTTATTAAGCTTGTTAAAGAACCTTATGTGTTAACAATAACTATTCTTCTGTTAATAAATTAGTAATTAAGTTGTATGAACATCTCTTAGTTATTAATTTCATATGATTTATTGTGACCACATAGTTGTATGTCTAGGAATAACGAATGTGAAACTAGAATTAACTTGAAGATAGGTAAGTTAATGTGTAAGCTTGTGTGATACACCATCAACAAGAGGTTAATTGAATCACCAATTTGATTAACTATTACAAGTCTTATTTAACCCAAATCAATAACTAGGAAATTCGTTAATTTAGACAACTGGCAACTGCTTGAGTTAATTTGTTTCCTAAGGATTAGTAATAGCAAAAGTGGAACTAATCATCTTAGTCGGTAGCTAATGAAGAATTAATCCGATACATCGAAATCATCCATGAGAACAAATGAGTCGAACCTAAACAGAAGTCCTCTTTATTATTGAATTTAGTTGATTTTTATTTGCTTAGCTCTTAGTTTCTTAGTTTAAGTTTTAGTTAATTGTTTAAATTTCTAGTCTTGCAAAACTAGAGAAAACTCTTTCTATTACTTGTTTTATTTAGATAATATTAGCATCTATTTTAATTGTTTACCGTTCCCTGTGTTCGATACCCTACTTACCTGAACTAAACTGCTAATCGATAGGTACACTGCCTTTCGTGTGTTTGTCTTTGTGTTTAAGTTAATAGGATTAAAACTAGTTGGTTTCACACACATCAAGTTTTTGGCGCCGTTGCCGGGGAACGGTTCTAAATAGTTAATTTTATTTGCTAATTGTTATCATTTTTTATTTTATTTGTTGATTAATTTTTTTATTTAGTTTAATAGTTTATTTTTATTTTTTATTTATTATGTATTTTCCAAATCTCGATGCTTTTGATGCTTTTCTTGAGGAAGTAGTACAGGAAATTGAGCAAGAAGATGAGGAGTGTGGATGGGATGAAGATTTGAAGAAATTTGATAGATGGTTAGATAACATCTTGCCCAACACACAAGAACAATTTGAGTCACAAGAGCTAAAGTTACAAGATGAAGAATTTAATCCAGAAAGAGACTTGGAGGAGCTGGAAAAATTGCTAGCAGAAGGGTCATATGAAGAACAAGAACAAGCTGAATTGCAGGAACCAAGCTGTGGTTTGACTATTACCACGATATACCCCCCTGTATTTACATTTTGTGTTTCGAAGCGTGGGGTGACGACTCCAACTTTGGAGAAAGTTCTGAGGCACGATCCGTTTTTGATTAGTATCCAACCGGTTCCAACCTTTTGTCAAAATTGTTGGGTTTCATGAATTCGAGTTTGTTTGGCCAATTTTAGAAGTAAAGAGCCAAATTTTACAAATTGGTCCACCAAAGAAAATATTTAATGCAATGGATGGATGGGCATCGAATTTATTAGAAGTTTATTAAGTTGAGAGTCCAGCTAAAGACTCGCACAAAAAGAAGCGCTTGCGGGAGGCAACCCGTCATTAGAGTTTTCTTTTCTTTTTCTTTCTAAACTTCTAGTGTTTAAGGATAATCTAGGATTTTTTTTTATTTTAATGTTTTTTTTATTACTTGGTTTTTGTTTTTAATCTTTTCAGTTTGAGTGTAAGGATGCATGTGAGGGTCTAGAGTCAAGGCTGATGAAGCGAGAAATCGAGTCTAGG